GAGACTTGTGCCGGGAGGAGGGAGGGGGGGGGGGGAAGACTTGTGCGGGGGGGGGGGAAAGTGGGGGGAAGACTTGATCGGGGGGGGGAGGGAGGAGGGGAGGGAAGGGGGGGTGGTGAGAGATGGAGGGATTGTGGAAGGCGAAAGGAGGGGGGTGGAGGTGGGCAAAGGAGGGGGAGGGTATTGTAGAGGGGTGCGGGAGGGGGAGAGATGGGGGGGGAAGACTTGTGCCGGGGGGGGAGATGGGGGGGAAGACACCCTTTGTCGCCCCGGATGGGGTGGGGGGGGAAGACTTGTGCCGGGGGGGGAGATTGGGGGGGAAGTGACTCTGTGGGGGGGGATGGGGGGGAAGACTTGGGGAGGGGGAGGGCGGGGGGAACAGACTTGTGCCGGGAAAGGGGAGAGATGGGGGGGGAAGACTTGTGCCGAGGGGGAGATGGGGGAGACTTGTGCCTGGGGGGGGAGGAAAGACTTGTGCTGGGGGGGGGGGGTGGAAGACTTGTGCCGGGAAGGAGGAGATGGGGGGGAAGACTTTGTGCCGGGGGGGAAAGAGGGGGGGGGGGGAAGCTTGTGCCGGGAGGAGGAAGAAGATGGGGGGGAAGACTTGTGCGGGGGGGGGGGGGGGAGGGGAAGAATGGGGACGGCGGGAGGGGATGTAGGGGGGGTCAAGACTTGTGCCGGGAGGGGGGGGATGGGGGGGGGGAAGACTTGTGCCAATGGGGGGGGAGATGGGGGGAAGACTTGTGCCGGGAGGGGGAGACTGGGGGGCGAAGACTTGTGTCGGGAGGGGGGAGATGGGGGGGGACTTGTGCCGGGAAACTGGGGGGGGGAAGACTTGTGGCGGGAGGGGGAATGGGGGGGGGGGGGGGGAAGACTTGTGCCGGGAGGGGGAGATGGGGGGGGGGTAAGACTTGTGCTGGGGGGGGTGCTGGGGGGGGGGAAAAAGACTTGTGGGGGGAGGAGATGGGGGGGAAGACTTGTGCGGGGGGGGGGGAGATGGGGAGAAGACTTGTGCTGGGAGGGGGAGATGGGGGGGAAGACTTGTGCGGGGGGGGGGGGAAGACTTGTGCCGGAAGGAGGAGATGGGGGATGGGGGGGGGGAAGACTTGTGCCGGGAGGAGGAGATGGGGGGGGGGGGAAGACTTGTGCCGGGGGGGGGGAGATGGGGGGAAGACTTGCATCGGGAGGGAGAGATGGGGGGGAAGACTTGTGCCGGGAGGGGGAGATGGGGGGGACTTGTGCCGGGGAGGGGGGAGATGGGGGGGAAGACTTGTGCCGGGGGGGGAGATGGGGGGGAAAAGACTTGCGTCGGGAGGGAGAGAGATGGGGGGGAAGACTTGTGCCGGGAGGGGGAGATGGGGGGAAGACTTGTGCCGGGGGGGGGAGGATGGGGGGGAAGACTTGTGCTGGGAAGATGGGGGGACTTGTGCCGGGAGGGGGAGAGGGGGGGGAAGACTTGTGCTGGGGGGGGGAAAGGACTTGTGCCGGAGAGGGGGAGGAGATGGGGGGGGGGATACTTGTTGTCGGAGATGGGGAGACTGGGGGGGGAAGACTTGGGAGGGGGAGTTGGGAAGACTTGTGCTGGGGGGGGGGGGGGAAGACTTGTGCTGGGGGGGGGGGGGGGGAGACTTGTGCCGGAAGGAGGAGATGGGGGGGAAGACTTGTGCCGGGAGGAGGAGATGGGGGGGAAGACTTGTGCCGGGTGGAGGAGATGGGGGGGGAGACTTGTGGCGGGGGGGGGGGGGGGGGAGACTTGTGCCGGGGAGGGGGAGATGGGGGGGGGAAGACTTGTGCCGGGAGGGGGAGATGGGGGGGGGGGTGAAGACTTGTGCCGGGTGGAGGAGGAGATGGGGGGGAAGACTTGTGCCGGGAGGGGGAGATGGGGGGGAAAAACTTGTGTCGGGAGGGGGAGAGATGGGGGGGGGGGAGACTTGTGCCGGGAAAGGGAGATGGGGGGGAAAACTTTGTGGCGGGAGGGGGAGATGGGGGGGGGGGGGAAGACTTGTGCCGGGAGGGGGAGATGGGGGGGGGCGAAGACTTGTGCTGGGGGGGGGGGGGGGGAAAGACTTGTGGGGGGGAGATGGGGGGGGGAAGACTTGTGCCGGGAGGGGGAGCTGGGGGGGGGGAGAGACTTGTGCCGGGAGGAGGAGATGGGGGGGGGGGGAAAGACTTGTGCCAGGAGGGGGAGATGGGGGGGGGGGGAAGACTTGTGCGGGAGGTGGGGGGGGGAGACTTGTGCCGGAGGGAGGAGATGGGGGAAGAAGACTTGTGCCGGGGGGGGGGGGGGAGACTTGTGCCGGGAGGAGGAGATGGGGGGAAAGACTTGTGCGGGGAGGGGGAGATGGGGGGAAGACTTGTGCCGGGAGGGGGAGATGGGGGGAAGACTTGTGCCGGGGGGGGGAGGGATGGGGGAGGAAGACTTGTGCCGGGGGGGGAGATTAGGGGGAAGACTTGTGCCGGGGGGGGGAGATGGGGGGGAAGACTTGTGCTGGGGGGGAGATGGGGGGGAAAGACTTGTGCCGGGGGGGGGGGGGGAGATGGGGGGGAAGACTTGTGCCGGGGGGGGAGTGTGAGGGGGAAGACTTGTGGCCGGTGGGGGGGTGTGTGTGATTTCTGTTTGTTTTGGAGTTTTGTTTTGTTTTTTGCGTGTGTGATTTCTTTTTGTTTTTTCACGTGTGTGATTTCTTTGTTTTGGGGGTTTTTTTGTGTGCGTTTTTTTTTTTTTGTTTTTTTTGTGTGTTTTTTTTTATTTTCTTTGTTTTGTTTTTTTTTTGTTTTGTTTTTTTTGTGGGTTTTGTGTGCAATTTGTTTTTCTTTTACTTTTTTTTTGTCTGAGTATAGATCTATGCTGGTCCCTTGTGACTGTCTCCATGAACGATCTCCGATCCCCTGGGAATTCTGGCCATTGATAAGGGACGAGGACACGTTGTACGGAGCGTTCCTGTTTATTGAGATGAGAAGGACGGATTGGCACAACACAGGACAGGACAGGAATACAACAAAACTTCACATTTCCATCAAATCTTTTATCACAGAAAATAAATACGTCAAATGTATCAATAATCACAGATCGGGCGACCAATGAGGAGCGGCTGCTTCCACCAATCATAAAAGGAACTGCAACACGCAGCACTCAAACAAATGCCCATGTCCCAGCGAAACATTTCCCACACTCTGAACCTGAATAGGGATGCTAGCCTGTGTGAACTCTCTGATGTGAAAGTAGGTGTGCTTTCCGAGTGAAACATTTCTCGCACTCTGCACATGATTATGGATGCTAGCCTGTGTGAACTCTGATGTCTGAGAAATATCTCAAGGTAAGAAACCATTACCCGCACTCTGAACATGAAAAAGGACGCTAACTTTTGTGAACTCTCTGGTGCACAATAAGGTCTCCTTTCTCAGTGAAACATTTCCCGCACTCTGGACTTGAACAGGGATGCTCACCTGTGAATTTTCTGATGTGTCTGAAGTATCCGTTTCTGAGAAAAAGATTTCCTGCACTCAGAACATGAAAAAGGGCGCTCACCTGTGTGAATTCTCTGATGTGAAAGTAGGTGTGCTTTCTGAGTGAAGCACTTCCCGCACACTGCACATGAAAAAGGGCGCTCACCTGTGTGAGTTCTCTGGTGTTTAAGAAGGCCACCTTTTTCGGAGAAACATTTCCCGCACTCTGAACACGAATAGGGACGCTCACCTTTGTGAACTCTCTGATGTCTGAGAAGTATACATTTCCTAGAAAAACATTTCCCGCACTCAGAACTGTGAAAGGGCGCTCACCCGTGTGAACTTTCTGATGTGTAAGTAGGTGCTGTTTCCTAGTGAAAAACATTTCCCACACTCTGAACATGAATAGGGTTCTTCACCCGTGTGACTTCTCTGGTGTATAAGAAGGTTTCCTTCCTCAGTGAAACATTTCCCGCACTCTACACATGAATAGGCACGCTTGCCTGAATGAACTTTCTGATGTGTAAGAAGTATCCATTTAGTAGAAAAACACTTCCCACACTCAGCACACGAAAAAGGACGCTCACCCGTGTGAACTCTTTGGTGTATAACAAGCTCTCTTTTCTCAATGAAACATTTCCCGCACTCTGGACATGAATAGGGACGCTCACCTGTATGAACTCTCTGATGTCTAACCAGTAAACTTTTGTACCCAAAACGTTTCCCACACTGATAACATGAAAAAGGACGCTCATCCGTGTGAATTCTCTGGTGTATAAGAAGGCTTACTTTCTGAGTGAAACATTTCCCGCACTCTGAACAAGAGAAAGGTCGCTCGCCCGTGTGAATTCGCAGGTGTTTAGAAAGTTCGCTTTTCCCATTAAAACGTTTCCCGCACTCTGAACATTTAAAAGGACGTTTCCTTGTGTGATATCTCTGGTGCGAAATAAGACTCGCCTTCTGGGTGAAACATTTTCCGCACTCTGGACAGGAAAATGGACGTACACTCATATGACACTTCTGGTGGTTTAGAAGATGTGCCTTCTGAGTAAAACATTTCCCGCACTCCAGACATGGAAATGAACTCTCTCCTGTATAAACTCCTTTATGGGTTAAAGAAGGTTCCTTGAGATTAGATGAACTTCCACCCCCATCCGTCCCGTCAGATATTAGACGACTGTCTGAAGTCCAAGTAGGTGACCTATCAGGAGGTTCCTCAGAATCAGACGCAAATAGATCCAATGAGCTCTTCCCATGGTGAGGTCTGCTATGTATATTAGTGAGTGATGGGATTTACTTCTGGAGAACATGAGATGCCGTCATCTTCTGCATTTACATCTTCCTCCCGATGTTCTATTCCGAGCGCAGAGTCCGCCTGTCAGGGAAATAATATTGAGGAATTGGAAGTATTTTCCTCAGAAGTCATATTGATGATGGAGATGGACCTTTCATATGGTGTCCAGTATCTCCTCCTCATTTGTTGGGAACGTGACGTTATATTTGAGGAATGGAGATGGACCTGGACCTTCATATGGTGTCCAGTATCTCCTCCTCATTTGTTGGGAACATGACGTTATATTGAGGAATGGAGATTTCAAACAAAAGGTAGACAAAAGAAAATGGCTTTTAAAATTCAAAGGATGGAAATGGTCTTTGGGGTGTGTAGGTCTTTTTTTCCATCGAACAATGATTATGTACCTGAGCTGATATCTTGAGAAGTTTCTTCCTTTTTTTTAACTTTGTTCACCATCCCAACCTTCTGATCGCCCCTCAAATACATCTCTTCTTCCTTTAGTTCCTCAGTTTTTATGTTGTTCAATTCTTCATCCTGCACCAACAAAATGGCAGGAAATAATATATTTTTTTTTAAAACATTAACATTAGAAAAATGATATCTCTTGGGGTTCTGGGATCACTTTCCTACATGCTCAGCTCCACCTACCTGATGATGATGATGGATGTTGTGACCTTCTTGTGTGGAATCCCGGGAATACAGAGGACGGGGACATCTCTCTGGTGGGTTCCCATGACTGGATCCATCTACCTGATGATGGTGAGGGATGGTGTGACCTTCCTGTGTGGAATCCCGGGAATACAGAGGACGGGGACATCTCTCTGGTGGGTTCCCATGACTGGATCCATCTGTAGGAAACACACACACTGACTGAATCCATTGTTTCTATGTGATTATCAGATGATGGGGGATCTAGGTGGACCCTCCGTACTGCTCTCTCCTTTCCAATAAAGTCTCCTCTTACCCGGTGATGTGAGGGGCGGCTGATTGTCCATCATGACGTCCTTGTAGAGGTCCTTGTGTCCTTCTAAATACTCCCACTCCTCCATGGAGAAATAGACAGTGACACCCTGACACCTTATAGGAACCTGACACACACAATGATAGTCACCATCCCAGAATCCTCCTCACCTCTCTGATGATGGTGAGGGATGGTGTGATCTTCCTGTGTGGAATCCTGGGAATACAGAGGACAGGGACATCTCTCTGGTGGGTTCCCAAGACTGGATCCATCTACCTGATGATGGTGAGGTATGATGCTTTGTAGGACATTACAGTCACCTTCAATGATATCCAGAGAAGATTCCACCTTCATTTCTGTTACCATCATCTTCTCTGGTGACTGGTGATCACCCCTCACGTTCATTTCTTCTTCTTCTGCTTTACTTTCAACTTTCACATTCATCAGATCTTCACCCTTGCATCACAAAATATTGAAAGAGAATGACTTAAAACCTCAGAAAGAACATCAAATTATAGGATGTTCCATGTACCTGATGATGGTGAGGGATGGTGTGACCTTCCTGTGTGGAATCCCGGGAATTCAGAGGACGGAGACATTTCTCTGGTGGGTTCCCATGACTGGATCCATCTACCTGATGATGGTGTGTTAGATGGGGGGTAAGGAGCGGGGACAGCGGTGTTGGATGGGGGGGGTGAGGAGCGGGGATGGCGGTGTTGGATGGGGGGTGAGGAGCGGGGATGGCGGTGTTGGATGGGGGGTGAGGAGCGGGGACGGTGGTGTTGGATTGGAGAGTGAGGAGCGGGGACGGGGGTGTTGGATGGGGGGTGAGGAGCGGGGATGGCGGTGTTGGATGGGGGGGTGAGGAGCGGGGTCTGTGGTGTTGGATGCGGAGTGAGGAGCGAGGATGGCGGTGTTGGATGGGGTGGGTGAGGAGCGGGGATGGCGGGTGTTGGATGGGGGGGTGAGGAGCGGGGACGGCAGTGTTGGATGGGGGGGTGAGGAGCGGGGTCGGCGGTGTTGGATGGGGGGCGGAGGAGCGGGGTCGGCGGTGTTGGATGGGAGGTGAGGAGCGAGGACGGCAGTGTTGGATGGGGGTTGAGGAGTGGGGACGGCGGTGTTGGAAGGGGGGGTGAGAAGCTGGGACGGCGGTGTTAGATGGGGGGGGGGTGAGGAGCGGGATGGCGGTGTTGGATGGGGGGGGGGGGGTGAGGAGCTGGGACGGCGGTGTTAGATGGGGTGTGAGGAGCGGGGACGGCGGTTTGGATGGGGGGGTGAGGAGTGGGGACGGCGGTGTTGGATGGGGGGGGGTGAGGAGCGGGGGCCTGTGGTGTTGGATGTGGAGTGAGGAGCGAGGATGGCGGTGTTGGATGGGGTGGGTGAGGAGCGGGGATAGCGGTGTTGGATGGGAGGGTGAGGAGCGGGGACAGCGGTGTTGGATGGGGGGGTGAGGAGCGGGGACGGCGGTGTTGGATGGGGGGTGAGGAGCGGGGACAGCGGTGTTGGATGGGGGGGTGAGGAGCGGGGACGGCGGTGTTGGATGGGGGGGTGAGGAGCAGGGGCCTGTGGTGTTGGATGTGGGTGAGGAGTGGGGATGGCGGTGTTGGATGGGGTGGGTGAGGAGCGGGGGGACGGCGGTGTTGGATGGGGGGTGGGGTGAGGAGCGGGGACAGCGGTGTTGGATGGGGGGTGAGGAGCGGGGACGGCGGTGTTGGATGGGGGGGTGAGGAGCGGGGACGGCGGTGTTGGATGGGGGGGGTGAGGAGCGGGGACGGCGGTGTTGGATGGGGGGGTGAGGAGCGGGGGTCGGCGGTGTTGGATGGGGGGGTGAGGAGCGGGGTCGGGTGTTGGATGGGGTGTGAGGAGCGAGGACGGCAGTGTTGGATGGGGGTGAGGAGCGGGGACGGCGGTGTTGGATGGGGGGGTGAGAAGCTGGGGACGGCGGTGTTAGATGGGGGGGGGGGTGAGGAGCTGGGACGGCGGTGTTAGATGGGGTGTGAGGAGGAGCGGGGACGGCGGTGTTGGATGGGGGGTGTGAGGAGCGGGGATGGCGGTGTTGGATGGGGGATGAGGACCAGGGACGGCGGTATTGGATGGGGGGGTGAGGAGCGGGGATGGCGGTGTTGGATGGGGGGGTGAGGAGCGGGGTCTGTGGTGTTGGATGCGGGTATTGTGGTGAGGATGGCGGTGTTGGATGGGGGGGGGTGAGGAGCGGGGATAGCGGTGTTGGATGGGGGGGTGAGGAGCGGGGACGGCGGTGTTGGATGGGGGGGGGGTGAGGAGCGGGGTCGGCGGTGTTGGATGGGGGGTGAGGATTGGGGTCGGCGGTGTTTGGATGGGAGGTGAGGAGCGGGGACGGCGGTGTTGGATGGGGTGTGAGGAGCGAGGACGGCAGTGTTGGATGGGGGTTGAGGAGTGGGGACGGCGGTGTTGGATGGGGGGGTGAGAAGCTGGGACGGCGGTGTTAGATGGGGGGGGGGGTGAGGAGCTGGGACGGCGGTGTTAGATGGGGTGTGAGGAGCGGGGACGGCGGTGTTGGATGGGGGGTGTGAGGAGTGGGGGATGGTGGTGTAAGATGGTGGCAGGCAGCCATGTCTCCTGGTGTCATGTCACACACGCAGACTATAGATGGCACAGTGGAGGTTTTTCTGGCACAGACACGGCAGGGTTCTCAGTCATCTGGTATATACAGATCTGGGGCAAACGGTCCTCCGGTATACACAGATCTGGGGGCCCGGTCCTCCGGTATACACAGACCTGGGGGCCCGGTCCTCTGGTATACACAGACCTGGGGGCCCGGTCCTCCGGTATACACAGACCTGGGGGCCCGGTCCTCCGGTATACACAGACCTGGGGGCCCGGTCCTCCGGTATACACAGACCTGGGGGCCCGGTCCTCCGGCATATACAGACCTGGGGGCCCGGTCCTCCGGCATATACAGACCTGGGGGCCCGGTCCTCCGGCATATACAGATCAGGGGGCCCGGTCCTCCGGCATATACAGATCAGGGGGCCCGGTCAGCACTGCTTCTCCAGATAGATTGCGAGTTCCTTGGCTGTGGTGTTGGGACGGCGGTGTTTAGATGGTGGCAGGCAGCCATGTCTCCTGGTGTCGTGTGACACACGCAGAGTATAGATGGCACAGTGGAGGTCCTCCGGTATATAGAGATCTGGGGGCCCGGTCATCCGGTATATAGAGATCTGGGGGCCCGGTCATCCGGTATATAGAGATTCTGGGGGCCCGGTCATCCGATATATAGAGATCTGGGGGCCCGGTCATCCGGTATATACAGATCTGGGAGCCCGGTCCTCTGGTATATACAGATCTGGGGGCCCGGTCCTCCGGTATATATACAGATCTGGGGGCCCGGTCCTCCGGTATATACAGATCTGGGGGCCCGATCCTCTGGTATATACAGATCTGGGGGCCCGGTCCTCCGGTATATACAGATCTGGGGGCCCGGTCCTCTGGTATATACAGATCAGGGGGCCCGTTCAGCGCTGCTTCTCCAGATAGATTGTGAGTTCCTTAGCTCTGCCTGGTGAGGGCGCTACAGGGTCACCGAGGAGGTTATGTTATGTTCCTCTGTTCCCTTCCCCCAGTGGCAGGACAAGAGGACATTTCCTTCATGCAATTACCTCCTCTGCTGCCAATTCCAGCAATGTCTC